TCCATTGATAATACGTGAACACTTCTTATCGATAAATGATTGATATTCCTCCTCTTTACACATAGGACAAGATCCATCACTATCTTTTACTCTCTCAATACAAGACCCACAGAAATTATGTCCACAGCATGTGACCTGGTGAGGATCTGCCAAGATATTAAGACAAACTGGGCACTCTATCTCTACATGCTCTGGCAATTCTTTAAGAAAATAAACCTCATCTTTACTGAACTGAGCCATGGGAAGTGTATCTAGAGTAGACAGGCGTGGCAGGTTGTCACAGGCCACGCCTGACACTTATATTTACATAGATGCTAAACTTAAATGCAGGGTAACTTGAAGAAAAACATTTTAAGTTTGTGGCTTTGTTCTTGTTACCCCCAAAAGCCAAGGTTGCTTGTAGCATTTAGCATTACAGGGCTATATAAGTTAGTTCTTGCAGGCTTCTCTGAAAAGCATTTTGATTTGAATCCGCAAAAGAGAAGATTGAATCTCCACAGTTTTGTATTGGGTATCAATTAATTAACATTGACAATAATAAAATATAATGTATAATAAATACAAACTGTCATTACTGAGTATAAATTGTAGCTCTATTACTACTATATAGTAGTGTTGTTATAGTACCATAATTTTATATAGTTCTAGTATTAGTTCTAGAACTAGAGTTTGAAAAAATTTAGTTCTAGTACTAGTTCCGGAACTAGAGTTTGATAAAGTTTAGTTCTAGTACTAGTTCCGGAACTAGAGTTTGATAAAGTTTAGTTCTAGTACTAGTTCTGGAACTAGACTTTGATAAAGTTTAGTTCTAGTACTTGTTCTAGAACTATAGTTTCATAAAGTTAGTTCTAGTACTAGTTGTAAAACTAGATTTCAATAAATTTTAGCTATTGTTCTAGTTCTAGAGCTAAGTTATAGTTCTTGTACTTGTTCTGGCAATAGAGTTTAAGAAGCTTAGTTCTAATTGGAAATAATTTCTAAATACTGCTTCTTTTTGCTTCTGCTGTCATGCTTTCACTGCTTAGCTTTGAACTGAACAAGTATTCAAAAAATCTATTGATATATAATTTATGTCTAAGTAACAAATTCATACATTATTTGTTATTCAGTCTTTGTTATGTACTAAAATATTTCACAGACAAATTAGTACCTTCTTTGTCAACTAATATTATTCTACAATTCTAGTTCCAAACTAGTTCTAGTACCACAAGAGAATGTACTTTTAGTTCCAGTTTAGTTCTAGTACTGAGACTCTGGCAAAGTTTAGTTCCAGTTTAGTTCTAGTACTACAAGTCTTGTATAAACTAGTTCTAGTTTAGTTCTGGTTCTTACATTGGTTGTAAAAATAGTACTAGTTCTAGTTCTTGGAACTAGAACTATGAAAAAAAGGCAGTACTAGAATTGATTTAGTTCTAGTACCAAGGAACTACAACAACACTACTATATAGCAATAAAAAAGTAAGTCATATTCACCTATATTTATTTTAATAACTCCTTCTGGTACAGTAGTATCATCATCGCTCCACTCGATGCCATTAAGAATATCATGAGGTAGTAGTTTATAAGTAGCTTTAGTGTCTACTATCAATGCAATATCTTTATCTTTTAACTTTGCGAATATTTTTGAAAGTTTTGATTTAAATTTTACTTCATTAACTGCAAGTAATATAAAGAATTCAGCATACCTACGTGTACGTGTCTCAATAATCCTGCCTTTAGGTGCCACACTACTCGCCTTATACCTTCTAGACGTCATATCTACTTTTTCAGTAATGTGTTTAACATCCCCTCTCATTATTCTAGCTGACATGTGCCAACCACATACACCAGTATAGAAATGAACTGCTTCACTTCCTTCAGTAACATCAACTGGTAAAAATGGATAGGTATCATTAGCTAGAGCAGAATGAACACGATAACTAAAACAAGCATCTTCTTTCTTTAACTTTTCTATTTCCTTCTTCATTTTCTCATTTTTTTATTTGTTCATTTTCTTTCTTCAATTGTCCACAGGCTATGGCTAATAGTGTCATTTGTTTAGTATCAGCAGTGTGTACATGTACATGCTAACCATTTCTTCATTACTACACATACATACACCAGTGTGGACAGTATAAGTAGCAAATGTTTCTATTGCTCCACCAGAAGCTTGTGATTTAAATTTGTAAGTACATACCCATTGATGTTTGATAT